CTTCAGCGTTTAGCCATGCTGGCCACATGATCACGGTGACGTCTTCGGACAGTACTGGCTCTTCAACTTTGAAACGGAGATGAGCACCTCCCCCTAGAGCCAGGAATGACTAGCGCATATATGCAAGGGAACCTTTACTTTTTTATGTGTTATTTATTCTAGTTGTTTCATTTCCTGCTGCTTACTTCCATTTTGAGATCTCTTGTTCCAGAAATATGAGAGGAAATCTGTCCTGCCATAACTGTCACACACCTCCATTATGTCCATCTTTTAGAAGCTAAAAAACAAACAAACCCCGAGTTGTTAAGTTTCCCAGCAGGGGAACTGTTTTGACATAGTTACAGGTAGTCCTCGAATTATGACCACAATGGAGTCCAAAATTTATGTGAGAAATTTATTGAGTTTTGCCCCGTTTTATGACTTTTCATGCCCCATTTGTTAAGTGAGTCACGGCAGTTGTTAAACTAGTAACACAGTTGTTAAGTGAATCTGGCTTCCCCATTGATTTCGGTTCTCAGAAGGTCGCAAAAGGGGATCACACGACTGTCATAAATATGAGTCAGTTGCCAATCATCTGAATGTTGATCCCATGATCATGGGAATGCTACAATGGTCATAATAGCAACAGCACTTAGATTTATCTACTGCTTCATAGTGCTTTTACAGTGGTTTACAGTCGGCCTCTTGCCTGCCTGCCCGGGCTCCTTAGGGCGCCAATAGGAAGCAGTTGCTGGAGCTAAGCAGCCATCAAGAGAAAGAGTTGGCAAAACAGCTGGCTTAGTTCAGATTGGATCTGTCTGAGAAGGAGGCTCAGCAGAAGCACCTCACTGAAGACTATGAGCATAGGCTTTCCAAGCAGAGGGATGGCCTGCTGGAATACAAGGCCAGGTGCCAGCGCCTGGTGGCTCAGCGGGCTGAGATAGTCATATGGCCATGATGCAGTACCACTGGAATGAGGCCCACTTTGCCACCAGCAGTGCTTCCCTCCTGCCTTCATCCAAAGGTGCACCAGGAGGCTGAAACAGATCCCAAGTCAGAATTTCTCCCCCTCTCTGACCTGCACAAAAATACCCTGAAGGGGGCGATTCTCTGAATCAACACAAGTGTTCATTGCAGGTATCCGTCCCAGGGGCCGTAGTTTGTGGACCCCTGATTTAGTGCAATATTTAAGAAATGCAAATAATTTTTCTGCGGGCCACCAAAATTTTCTCGCGGACCACCAGTGGTCCACGGACCAACAGTTGGTGACCGCTGCTTTACAGCCCTCTCTAAGTGGCTTACAGAGTTAGCCTATTGCCCCCAACAATATGGGTCCTCATTTTACCCACCTCGGAAGGATGGAAGGCTGAGTCAACCTTGAGCCTGGTGAGATTCGATCTGCCGAGCTGCAGCTAGCAGTCAGCTGAAGTAGCCTGCAGTACTGCACTCTAACCCCTGCATCACCTCGGCACATAAGTGTGAAAAATAATCATAAGGCACTTTTTTCAGTGCCATTGTAACGTTGAACAGCCACTAAATGAAGTGTTGTAAGGCGAGGACTACCCGTACATGTAGAATGGCCCATTCGACATGTTCTGGTGGTCTACAATATTCTTTCTTAAGGTGACATCATCCCAAGCATAATATTAGGACTGACAAATTATACTGTAATTTGATTTTTTTTTTGTTCCAAGTGCCGGTATCTTTTTTCCACAGTAGTTACAGCTTGTGTTTTCCTTATGTGGTGAAAACGTGACAGATCGTGTCTTCATGGGAAATGCTTGAACCGGCTTCCGCGGACTCTAAAATAAAGGCACACTCTGCGCTTGTTCTTGAGCAAAATGAGCCATAATATCCTCTTAATTGATGTACATCATTCTGGCCCCAAAGAGGCCCAACCCAATTTAGCATTTTCATGATCAGGTAGTGGCACTGGATAACCTTCAGTGATCTAGATTGAAAGGTAAAAACAAAATAAAAAAAACCCTGAAAGGCAAGAACAAACTATTCCTGGATTGCTGTCGAGAAAACTATACAGATTTGTCCGTGAATCAAGCTTACTTTCAAAGCATCTTTGCTTGTTTTAATTTAAAGAGAACTGCATGCATTTTTGTTTTTTGAAAGGAAGTTTAAAAAATCAGGACAGGCGTGAAAATGTGCTGGCTTTGTGTCTGTTCTAAGGGCAATCATTCAAGAAAGCTTGATGGCAGGGATGTCAAACTGCTGGCCTGCAAGCCAGATGTGTCATGCGCAGGCCACACCCACGCCAGCTGCTCAGATAAAAACACCACGAAATGTCACATGACGGCAACATGACACAGCAAGTTTGTCACCCATGGGCTATAGGGAAGATTTACATTAGAGCAAGTGTGTAGGAGTGGCAAGAGTCAAAACCGATATTAGCCTAGAGACACTACTGTATTTTTCGGAGTATAAGATGCACCTTTTTCCCTCAAAAAAGGGTGAAAATCTGGGTGTCTTATACATTGAATACAGCATTTTTTGCCTCCTGAAACTCCACCCCCTTCACCAAAATGGCCATGGAGAGCCTGTAGAAGGCTTTCAGAGAGCTCCTGCGGGCTGGGGAAGGTAGAAATGAGTGAAAAATGGGCCATTTTTTGCTCAATTTTGCCCCCCCCCCCGGAGTACTCTATAAGCCTCCTAAAGGCTATGCATACATTTGTTTTGACAAAAAACGGGCCATTTTTTGCTCATTGGGGGGCACACCCCCCCCCAGGAGCACTCTACAAGCCCCCTAAAAGCCATTCATGCTTTTTTTTTTTTTAAGGCTGTTTTGGGGAGGTTTGCAGAGTGGAAAAACCTTTTTTAATTTGCCTCTTCGAAATCATGGTGCATCTTATACTCTGAAAAATACGGTATATAGCCACAAATGAACTAAGTCCAACCCCTCTTAAATTCTGATGAACCTTATCTAATGCTACAATAGCGTTAAGTTAGTTGCATAAATTCCACTGGTTATGCATGAGTAGTAATAAATCAGTTTAATTAAAACTGCAAGTGTAGTTCTGGTTTTTAGTGCCTGACAAGGTTTAATAATCAACTGTTGGGCTTGGGTCCCATAATTTCCATCCTCTCTCTCTGTGCATCAAGAGATACAATTGGTGGCACAGCTAAATCCTGTCTTCTTGTCGTTGGTTGTGAAGTTGTGTCCGACCCATTGTGACCCCCATGGATAACGTTCTTCCAGGCCTTCCTGTCCTCTACCCTCCTCTGGAGTCCATTGAAGCTCAAACCGACTGCTTCAGTGACTCAATCCAGCCATCTCATTCTCTGTCATCCCCTTCTTCTTTTGCTCTCAATCTTTCCCAGCATTAGGCTCTCCTCCAGTCCTTCCTTCTCATTAGGTGGCCAAAGTATTTGAGTTTCATCTTCAGAATCTGGC